TGTGCTAAAATAATAATTATATAATTTTATACAATTAAAATTTTAAATATAATCAAAATATACATATATTTATATATTTACGGATCGGATCGGATATCCGCTTTCCAAAATTTTAATATTTGTGATTTGCTTCGATTTTAACGGATATTGAATTTTAGTATTTGCTTTGATTCGAAAGTTTACGGATATCCGGAATTTTTGGATCGAATCGAAACGAATAACGGATCAAATCAAATATAACGGATAAAATGCCCAGCCCTACTACTGTGTAAATGGAAAAAGCATACACCACTGATGGGTGAAAAGAGCAGCTCAATAAAATATTAAAATGAAGATTATATTCTTGATTAAAAAAAGATTATATTGAGATTACTCTTCTCATACATAATGCTGAATATATTTGAAACTCTTCACATACGTAACTTTCATTTAGTTTTTAAATTTGAAGTAAAAGTTTGCCTAGAGCAGAATTCTCATCAACTCCAAAAAATTAGCAAAACCTAAAGAAAGTATTTACGTACACATATTTAAATTTAATTTTTAAGTTCAACCTTTTGAAAAAAAAAAATTATGAGAAGATTTCAACAAAAAGTTTGCTAACTAATTATTGTTTAAATTAAATGTTTAATTAATTTTGGCCAGTCACAAAACTGACTTTGGTATTCTCCTTATGATATTTGAAGATTTCATGTGACTCTAAGTATGAAAACTTATTAACAAGTCTACTTCGACTTCTCCTGAAGTATCCTATCAAAAAAAATTAAAATTTTGTAAAATTTCACTTAAATGTAAAAACTTCGTTTCTACAAAGAAAAAATATTAGTTTTCTTTTGAAGTTTAATATGAAAAATATATAAAATATTCAATTGTGTAATTAACACATTCATTAACCAGGAACATTTTTCTAGAAATCTTTTCGGTGAAGTAGACATCTATAGAATTTTCTATTAGAAAAAAATAAAAAATAAAAATCAAATTTTATATATAAATCCGATGAGAGTTTGTATTTAGCTTCTCCAAACACCTAAATTTCTTAATGAAATATACTCACTCGTTGTAGACCAATAATTATTAAACTAATCAATTTAAAATGTAATTTTGGAATCCAAACATTTGAGTTAATAGATTAGATAAGAGAGGATATCCAAGATAAATGATTCTTTTTATACAAAATGAGATAAGAAGATGTATAAACCGATGTATAGCACATTTTAATTTTAATTTTTGCTGTTAATGGTGATTGGTGGTATAATATCAGTCACTGATAATGAAGAGTAATAAATAAGTGACACAGATTATGATGTATGAATAAAATTAACATATTTTAAAAATAAAAATAAATAAATAATTAACTGTATTTTCGTGATAGGATGAATTAAGTTAACCAAGATTAAATAAAAAATATTAGTTTATGCTTGAGCATGAATTTTAGATTATTTTTGAAAGAATTCATATATTCTTTGTATCCTCCCCTAAACTTATCATTCTCTTCACTAAGTCGTACACTCTTTATTGAAATCGAAAAACGTAGGATAGAGTTGGCAAAAAAAAAAAAAAAAAAAGATAATTTGAAGAGTTATGTTAAGATACACCATCATAAACCATCCTTCCAGTTTTCTTACTTGATCTTATCGATACAATTTGAGTTGCCTGAACTTTAAAGGTGAGTTGCCATTTTCTTTTAGGGTAGGGGAGTTTGGCTTTTATTTGAACATGAGGTATTTTGAAGACACTGTAACAGCTGAATGGGACGATGTTGAGAAGGTGGTGGCCGTGAGCAAGAGGTGGTGAATGGTGATCATGAAGATTTGGTTTAGATTTCTTTTTTTTAATTTGATTTAGTGTAAACCAATTTTTTGGTTGAGTGATGAACCATTTTAATTTTGTAAACATTTTATTTTTATTTGTATTTCTCAATTTATTTATTTTAAATATTTTTAAATAACCCTATAAATGATATTATAATATCTATACGAACTCAAAAATGCTATTATATAGTTCAGAGAAAATAGCATTTATAAAACTGTTATAATAACAAGTAGATCTATTATACCTGAGACATAAATAGCGGTTTCAATAATGTTAACGATAGCATTTTTTAACGTTAAGAAAAACTTTTTTTTTGTAGTGAAACTAAAGTAATACCACCAAATCCTAGTTAGCTGCAAGTAAACTACTATCTTAACTAGCTGCATAATCTCTGCGCAAGTGCGGGGCCGGGATTTGTGTTTTTTCGGTTGTTGGTTTAGTGAGTTATTCTAATAATACCAAATAATGATGAATTGGAAAGAATGTAGCAAGAATGCAAGTGAAAATATTGTATATATAATGTGTTAAATGTTATTTATATGCGAAATAAGTTATAGGAATAACTAAATTATAATATAGTTTTTAGTGTATAAAAATAGATGTCTATATTGTTTTTTTTATGTTGGAAATAGTTTTTATATTGGATGTCAAAACTTGATATAAATATTTATTTATAGTATTTATATTTGTACTAAACGATTTATCAATTTGAAAATAACTTTAATTTAAGCTAATATTTGTTGTTTTGGTTTCAATAGATAGGTTTGGATATGTTTTTTTGTAAGTTTGGATTTTGTTCATGAATAATGTGATATTTTTCTTTACGTCGTCATCGACTGTGGAAATCCATCCGCCGGAGTCTAATAAAAATGAAATTATAGTAACTATTAAAAATTGAAGAGAATTTACATAGTTATTTTATAAATAACAAAACTATTTTTTTATTTGTTTTCACATACATAATTTTTTGAAAATATATATTAGGAAATATGTTCTAACAGTAAAAATATATATTAGGATATGATAGTGCCGCGTGAGACTCGTTTTTTTCTCTTTTTTTGGATGTTCGTTTTTTGATCCATTTTTAATTGTTTTTGGGTTTGAGTTTGTCAAACTTTAGGATTTTTTCACTATTTTGGGCTTTAAACAATAAGTCCGGAGGAAAAAAAACATTAAAACATTGAAACTAAAAAGCCCATATGATAATAATCCAAACGAAAAAACTAAAATACATAACAGCTACGTGGTTTGAACCCACACACTTGCAGACTTAATTAGATGCCTTATACCACTTTGCTAAAGTATATTCATTGTTCATAGTCATTTTAAAAACACTATAAACTTTTAAAATTTAAATACGTGGAGTCCACTCGGCTGCTGATGTGGATAGCCTTAGGAGCTTCAAAAGTGAATCATTATTATATAGATTATTGTTCAGTTCAAAAAGTTTTTTTTTTCTTTCAAATTTCTACTTTCTGTAAACGAAATTGATTGCAACAAATGGTTAAATTACCATGAAAATGGATAACTTGATAAGGATGAAAAGAAGAATAAAAGAGATGACTACAATTAAAAAAAAAAACAGATTTGAAATTATGGTAATCAGATTTAATTGCATTTTAAATTAAATTTGGTTTACGAAAACTCAAATGTTTATTAAATATTACCAAAACATAAACTAAAAAATATGCTACAAGTTTAAGTCGAATATCAATAAATTTGCCATAAGAAAATAATTCGAACATACGAAAACAAATTGAATACATAAATCTACATTTATAACAAATTTACTTACCTCATTCACCAAAAATATGTTTTCTATTCAAATCGGACAATGAATTCTGTTATGTAAAAAAATCTGAATTTTATAAGAAAATTTAACACTATTTTAACGGTAAATTTATTTTTCTAACCAAATTTTATAAATAATTTTCTTATTCGGTATATTTATTTATTTGAAAATAGTTCTATGATCAAATGCTAAAGATAATGTAATAATGTTTTTTTTTGTTATAACTATTGGCAAGAACAATTTTGACCAGAAAAACGTTATAATAATTTTTGAAAGATAAAAGTCAACCTAATAGTAATACAATTAATTTGTGTCATTTTAATAAACTTCTCAATAAGTTATGATGATAAAATTAATAATAATAGTAAATATTCAGATTTGGTAATTTAGTAACTTCAGATCGACAAATTTGTATTTTCCGGAAAAAAATAATGATATACTTATTAAAATTAAAATCTTATATAAGTGTAGTTCTCCAAATTATCCCAAAACAAAAGTGACTTTGGATTTTCTTTTGCGAATTTCTTTAGTTGTAACCAATGTTTGGAACTACGCTAGGCGCTAGTCGGGCGGCAATTCCGGGCCTAGCGAGTTAATAAAAAAGCGGGGATTAATCGGGATATAATCGGGGATTAATTTTTATATTTTTAATTATAAATATACGTATTATATATTTATACATGTGACAGTTAGTTGTGAAGAAAGCATAGTACAGCGGTTCGCAGAGTCTCTGCCCCTAAATAGGTGTAAGGTTCGATTCTCTTGAGACACCATGATTAATCGGTTTTAAAACGATTAGTCTGTTATTAAAATAATTGATCGGATATCCGACTAATTAAACCGAATTGACCATAGTCGCGGTGGTTGACCACCGTCGAACGCCTACTCGGCCGCCTAGGCGGTGCGGCGGCCACGTTTTAGAACCTTGGTTGTAACAAAAGGGTAGTTGAGCTACCGCTATTCTTCTCAGATAGACCATGCAGAAACACCTGTTTGCATCTCAGCTTGTAGGATTGCCACATTGCCACTAGAGCTTCCCTTAAAATAAAATAAAATGAAAAGAACAAATAAAAACATAAAATGCGGAGAGAACAAAGAAAAATCAATAGTGAAGCAGAGTCGTCCATGCATGGATATGGATTCAATCAATAAGATCTTCAATTTCGTGTTTCCTCCTTTAGCATTGTACGGACTTTTCGTCTTCTACCCAATTTATCAGAGGTTGAAGTCCGCCGTGTCCATCTGCCGGAATCTTTTCTCGGAAAATGTTACCGGAAAAGTGGTTCTAATCACCGGAGCAGCTTCTGGCATAGGAGAGGTAAGTTTACAAACAAAAACATAATTCTTGATGATTAGTTAAGGTTAAGTACTAAATGTGGTGTGGTAGTGTGTATAGGCTTTAGCATATGAATACGGGAAGAAAGGTGCATACTTAGCACTTGTTGATATAAGAGACGAACCTCTCTTCCACGTCGCAGCTCTCGCTGAGCTCTATGGCTCCCCTGAAGTCATCCCCATGGTCGCCGATGTTTCAAAACCTGACGATTGCGAACGTTTTGTTCAAGCCACGGTTCTTCATTTTGGCCGATGTAAGTCAATCGTCATAGTTACATTCTAGATGGTCTGTTTACGTAGGACTTGGAGTTGGTACTTTATTTAAAAGTTAAACGTATAATTTGAGTTGCAATATGAACGCCGTAGGCAAAGATAAAAATATAATGCTTTTACTATTTATACTATTATCTCAGAAGTAAATTTGTTTAGTTGTCAATTTCTTCTTAATTTTAGATAATTTACTTATTTTTCATGTTTTAATAATTTAATATAATTTCTTATATAATAAAAACGAATTTATAAAAATAATATTATATTTTTAGAAAATAAAATAATTTTTACATATTTTTTTAAAAAAGAATTCTTATTTATTATCTTCCAATAATTTCATATATAATTTAGTACATGATAAAATGAATTTATATTAATAATATTATATTTTTTAAAAATAAGATACTTATTATGTATTAAATTGTTATTTTTTTAAAAAAAATATTAGATTGTTATCTTGTATATATATTTACTATTATAAATTTTAAGTGAATTTACTGATTTGTAATCTCTCCATGATTTAGATGATTTTGCTATATTTTTCATAATTTTCAATTAATAAAACATAAACTAATAAATATTCATAAGAAAACATAAACTCATAAATATTCATAAGAAAATTATGTCCGCATGTGCGGGCAAAACACCTAGTAGATAACTAGGTGATTTTCCCGTGATCATGCACGGATATAAATATTCATAAAAGTAAAGTTTTATAATAATTAATTGTTATTTAGTTTTAGTTTTAATTTTGAATAAATTTATATGTATAATTTATATTATAAATATTATATTATTCTAATTATACATATGACTTTAGATATATCATTGTTGGTTTAATTATTTTTTGGATCAATAGTCGGTTTGGTTATCAATTTGGTATATGGGATAATATCTATTTTGTGAATTCGGCTATACTATTTTTTATTCTGAATATAATAAAACTTTGATTAATTTTCTTATTTTCATTTCGGTTGGTTATTGTCTTAGATATGTAAATATATTATAGTTAAATTATGTATAACTTAATATATATTGTGCTTAAAATGAAATAAATAATAAACTGAAGTGTTTGATTCAAAATTACATAAAGGAATATAATGATAATATTTTGGAGTCTCATGCATATATATAAATTCTACAAAATAATTAAATTGTAATTGGTTAATTTTTTATTTTTCTTTTTAATATGCTTTGAGTCAACCTCTAATTTATATGTATAAAATTAAATAGATTATTATTATTATTATTTAAAATTATATGTTCTTATTGTAGTTAAATGTTTAATTTTGGATATAAATTAGATTAGTCGAGTCATTCATTTTTGTGAGCATATTGAGTTTAATATATTTTTAAATTAAAATTGAAGTATAATTACTTTTTATTTGAGTTAAGTCTAATCAAATTATTTTTATTTATCGCTTAAATATACATGTATTTTCATAATATTTATTTACTCTTTATTTTAGTTAGTTTAAATCAAATTATTTTTATTTATCGCTTAAATATACATGTATTTTCATAATATTTATCAAATTATATGATGATTTCTTAAAAATATTAGAAAATAGTGTAACTGATAAATTTTTGAATGCTCATGAACATATATATTTATATTATTTTGAAAATATATTTTGTGTTATTTAAAAATATATATTAATGGGATATTACTATTTTGTCAACTTTCCTTTTTAATAAAGTCATATTATATACATATATTTTCGTTTTTAAATTTGTTTTAAAATTTTAGAAATATTTCCTTTTTATTATATTTGTTATTTGGAAAAAGGTAAAAAGGAAACTATATAAAAAAAAAAAATCTTAAAATCTAATAATTCATTAAGGGTATCTATGTAATCAACTATCGTGAGGGTTAACATGAGCGCGACACGTAAGAAACTGACTTCTCAAATAATATTATAGAGATATAATATTATCTTTTGGTGGTATACACTTTACATAAAACATATCGTTGTTACTTTTATTGTCATCGTATTATTGTTAATTTAATTAAAAATATTGTTGTACTTTCGAAAAAGTAAAATACATTATTCATATATAATAAACATAAAAATTAGCGTATAAAAAATTGAATTAGAACATCTCCATTGTTGGCATTCCATAAATAGATTTTAAACTAAATAATCCTAATATATTAATTAAATTAAATTTATATTTAAAGAAAATTGAATCACTTAGAAATAAATATGTCTCATCAGTTTGTGATGGGTAATTTCACGATATTTCATTTAAGATATTCATCTTATATATTAAAACAGAAGTCATAACTTGAATTCATGTGTGATTTTTTAAATTTTGGACTTATTCCTATAAAGGAGGGTTATATTAAACTCTCTAATCTTATCATTATTATATCTTTTGAAAAATCATATCTATAATAACAAACATATGCTTAAAAAATTGGTTTGGGTAAATTATCCCACACCTTCCAACTTAGTCACGCTAAATATGTCAATAGATATAAGTTTAGGAATTTTTCTATTATTTATAAGGAAATATGTCAATAATAGTTAAATGCATCCACAATATATTAACAAAAATCATAGATTCGTAATATGGAATATTTATATATATGTGGAATAGATTTAACAGAATATTCACCGACCGATAACGCAAAATATGTCAATACATATAAGTTTAGGAATATTCTATTATTTATAAGGATATATTTAGTTTGGGTAAATTACCCCACACCTTCGATATAATTTATTAACTTTGCAAATTAAAGTATAATAATATTTAATCAAGCTCTATTTATGTTACTTTATTTAAATATGAAATACTAATCTAACAAACAACAAAATACATAAGAAGAAACAAACACATATTTGAAAAACATGTATAATATAGAAAACTTGAAACAATCTATTTGATTAAAACACGTATTATATAATATTATTATGTTTGCAAAACATTTACTATACACATTATAAATATTTAATTACTATAATAAATACCAATTTTTAAATGAAAATAAAATATTTATATAATTAACTATAAACGAAAACAAACACCCGCGCAACCGCGCGGGTCAAAATCTAGTTGGTTATTAATGGAGGTGCGCTTATTAAGTTGGACAATCAAGAAAGATGAAGGGGGACTGTGAGCAGATAAAATTTGTGGTACTAATTCTTGATTTTTAATTTCTACATGTTTTAATTTGGGCAGTGGATCATCTAGTCACAAATGCAGGAGTTGCTCCAGTCTATTTGTTTGAAGACATCGACGATATTTCCAAGGCATCACCAGCTATGGTCAATTTACTCTGCCCAAAGATCTCTCTAAACAAAATTTATTTTCTACTAATCGATTGTAATCGTTTTTTTCTTTCTTTATTACGTAGGACATCAACTTTTGGGGATCTGTCTATTGCACCTTCTTTGGTTCTCCTTACTTAAAGAAGTCTAGAGGAAGAATTGTGGTGATTGCTTCTGGATGTGGATACATTGCTTCACCCAGATTGAGCTTTTATTGTGTAACATTTTTGCATCAATTTGCCTCCAGTTGCTAACATTTTGATCTCAAACATTCAATATTTCTTAATTCCCTCTTGATGGATTCAGGCGAGTAAAGCTGCTGTTATCGCGTTTTATGAAACACTAAGATGTGAGTTTGGATCAAAGATCGGGGTTACCATAGTAGCACCTGGGGTAGTTGAGTCAGAAATGACCCGAGGCAAGTTCATAACAAAGAACGGAGAACTCATTGTCGACAAAGAACTCAGAAATGTAAGCATTTTTCTGGCTTAATTTATGACGTACTTTAATGGTTATTGGAAAAGTCTAACTTTAGTACTAAGATGAGAAATAGGATGAAAACTTACCACTAGCGGAATATTCTATATTTTGCTTATAAAAAGCATATATTAAAAACATTTAGCTGAGCATATTTTTTTTCAAATATATATATTTTTAAAAATTAGATGCATTAAAATAATAGAAAATATAAATTTATCGATGGAGTTTAGTTTCAATGCAAAATGGTAACATTGTCATATATATCATATGAATGAGACAGGTGCAAATAAGCGTATTGCCAGTGGAATCAGCAGAGAGGTGCGCTAAAGCGATACTAAGGAGCGTGTGCAGAGGAGATAGATACTTATTAGAACCGGCATGGATCAGTTACGTAATACTTTGGAAAGTGTTTTGTTCAGAGGTAACAGATTCGTTGGGACGGTGGCTAGTGATGGGATGACCAGCATTACCAATGAGGCGAGAAGAGTTGTTGATAGCCAACAACAAAATTACATTGAAGGGTATTTATGAAATAGCCCATGTATCCACAAAAAATATATATAAGAAGGGTAATCTATATGAGTAACTCAAAATGGGTCATATAATTAAATAATATATATCATCTTCTGTATGTCAACCGAAAATATCCTACGCACGCATATATATCCAGCGAGAGAGACAGAGACTAGAGAGAATGTTACCGGAAAAGTTATGATAACTTACAGAAAAATGCACACAAATAATACAGAGGATAACATTATACGCCAAGTTAGCCGGTTGACCAAGTTTAGACATCATTTTGATATCATAATTTATGAGAATCTGATTTTGATGTAAGCGAACAAACGAACGTATCCAACGACGATCAAAGTTCAAAAGTAGGATCGTTGATAGATGGTTTAAAGTTAACTGAAGACCAAAGTTCAAAAGTAGGATCGTAGATAAATGTTTTAGGCATTGGTCCATCCATAAATCTTTAGGGCATCTTCAACCGAACTCCATTTTTACTCTAAAATGGAGTAAAAGAGAATATAAAGAAGAAAACATTCCAATCCTATTTCATTTCCCATTCCATAATAGAATTGGAGTAAAAAATGGAGTAAAAGAGAATATGAAGTAGAAAACACTTCAACTCTACACCATTTCCCACTTCATAATAGAATTTACTCCATAAATGAAATAATCTGTTTTTTATTTATTCATCACTCTATTATGGAGTGAAAAATGGAGTGGAGTTGAAATATTTTTACTTTATATTCTCTTTTATTCCATTTTGGAGGATAAAATGAAGTTTTACATTAGAGATGTTCTTAGTGCGTTGATTAACTTGTGGACCATTGTCCAATGCAAACAACGAGTAAGGAGTCACTGAGCTCGCACTACTCTGCTCAGCTTGAGCAGTAACTTTTACCAGCAACATATTCATCACCGTCAACCATCAACTTGATGAACTAAAGATTTTCAAAACTAGCAAAAAGAAAATTAGGTTTCAAGATTTTAATATTCTTATACCATGTAAAGAGAAATGTTGAATATAAACTTTAACAAACCGAGAACTTGTGGTCAAGTAATAAAGAGAAAGACTTGCGATATATATCACCATATTTCAGATTTGATCTATCTATGAAATTAAATCACTTTTTTTGGTTATTTTATACGGATATGAGCTACTGCTTTTAACCCATTTGAATACCTGGAAAAATGTTTCCATGGACTATACCCCCATCCGAAAGTTACGTATATGTCTTTAATAGATTCGAGTTTAAATCTTTCTTTAGTAAAAAAAAAACTAGTATTCATTGAGAAGATTATACAACACTTATTATATACACAACTAAGTCGGCTAAAGTAATCCTCATTGTAATGAACTTACGTTTAATATTCTTAGGATAAACATAAATTGAATAGGTTTTGACCAAAAAAAAGAAAAAACATAAATAGAATAGGCAATCCTAATGACTATAGGATGTCTAATATAATTCTATATCGTTTATGAGATAGTCGTTATAGTTTAATACAATATATATAAGCGATTTGATTGCATCATTATGTGGATATATACCCTATCTACTCATGGAATTCAACGGTGGAATAAACACATACAGACAAGACAGGTTTCAGAAAAAAACACCTGCTGATAATCTCTATAATATTATTTGAGAAGTCAGTTTCCTACGTGTCGCGCTCACGTTAACTCTCGCGATGGTTGATTACATAGATACCCTTAATGAATTATTATATTTGAAAATTATTATTTTTATTTAGTTTTTTTTACTTTTTTCCAAATAACATATATAATAAAAAGGAAATATTTCTAAAATTTTAAAACAAATTTAAAAACGAAAATATATGTATATAATATAACTTTATTAAAAAGGAAAGTTCACAAAATAGTAATACCCCCATCAATATATAGTTTTAAATAAAACAAATATATTTTCAAAATAATAAAATTATATATAATCATGAACATCCAAAAAATTATTAGTTACACTTTATTTTATAATATTTTTTAGAAATTAACATATAATTTGAAAAATATTATGAAAATACATGTATATTTAAGCGATAAATAAAACTAATTGGATTTGACTTAACTAAAATAAAGAGTAAATAAATAATATGAAAATACATGTATATTTAAGCGATAAATAAAACTAATTTGATTTGAATTAACTAAAATAAAAAGTAATTATACTTCCATTTTTAATTAAAAAATATTTTTAACTCAATATATTCACAAAATGAATGACTCGACTAATCTAATTTATATCCAAATTAAACATCTAACTACAATAAGAATTTATAATTTTATAATAATAATAATCTATTTTATTTTATATATATAAATTAGAGGTTGACTCAAAGCATATTAAAAGGAAAAATAAAATATTAACCAACATTTAATTCTTTTTAGAATTTTTATATATATGCATGAGACTTCAAAATATTATCCTTATATTCATTTATGTAATTTTGAATCAAACACTTCAGCTTATTATTTATTTTATTTTAAGCAAAATATATATTAAGTTATACATAATTTAATTATAATATATTTACATATCTAAGAATATATTTACATATCTAAAGACAATAACAAACCGAAATGAAAATAAGAAAATCGATCAAAGTTTTATTATATTTAGCATCAAAATATTATAACTGAATTCGAAAAATAGATATTATCCAATATACCAAATTGATAAACAAACCGACTATTGATCCAAAAAAATAATTAAACCGACAATAATATATCCAAAGTCATATGTATAATTAGAATAATATAATATTTATTAATATAAATTATACATATAAATTGATTCAAAACTAAAACTATATATCAATCAATTATTATAAAATTTTACTTTTATCAATATTTATACCCGTGCATGAGCACGGGAAAATCACCTAGTAAGTAGTACACGCCAAATATGGGTGACCCGTATTAGTCAACGGTTCAATTAAATTTTAGCATTAATATGATTCGGTTTGAACCCGGTTCCGGTACAAATTAGGAGTTTTAAAATTTGACATACACCTAATGTTCCCATTCATTAGTTGAATACGTAATGATTAACGCTTTTAATGAAATGAATGGCGAAGGCCGCGTGATCCAAACGTTCAGACAGCTTTTCTCTAATTATTATTAGAGACCAAACCAAATACAGAAAAGCTTACCCACATGGTCAACAATATTATTTTTATTAACTAAAACACACACAGACAAACACGCTGTTAAGTTCTTTGTCCAAAAAAAAAAAAAAGGTTCTATTCTATAAAGGTTAAAAACTATACTAATATTATAATCATTAGTATACGCATTAAGAGAGCAAAAGAGATGGCGAATTTGAGTCAAGTTGGTCTGCCCCGGATCCCTCTCCCTCTCTCTCTCTCGATCTCTTTCTCACGCAAACATCGAATAATTTTGGGGAGCGAAGATGGAGAGGCTGTATATCTCAGTCGCAGTTTGGTTCGTGTACATGTCTTGTTTATTTCATGCTGTTCGATCACAGAACGGAACTATAGCCACTACTGATCCCGACGAAGGTTTCTCTTCCTATTAAATGCTTGTCTAATTTTTCTTTTTTTTTGGGACAAAAATGCTTGTCTAATTTTTATTCCCTTTTTAGACATAATAAAAGTTTTCAAAATATCATAATTCAGTTTTTTTTTCTTCTTATGATTCCGAGTTAAAACAACGACCATGATCATGATAATGATTATATAAACCCTTTTTTCTTTTTTCTTTTTTTTTGTGGTTTGGAATTAAAAAAAAAATAAAGGATCTTGTAATTTTAATTGGTGTTGACATTGAAAAATGAAATTAATCCAGCTCGGGCACTGAACAAGATCTTTGAGACATGGAAGATAACGGCGACAGGTGCATGGAACATAAGCGGCGAACTATGCAGCGGAGCAGCTATAGACGACAGCGTCAGCATAGACAATTTATTCTTCAACCCTCTCATCAAATGCGACTGTTCTTTTGTCGACTCCACCATCTGCCGCATCATCGCTCTGTAAGTTTCTCTTTCTTGCCTTCCACGTGTTCGACGCTTTGCCTCAAAGAGGCTCTCTCTAAAATAATTAAATTAAATGTACAGGAGGGCACGTGGGATGAATGTTACGGGACCTATTCCTCAAGAGCTTTGGAGTCTCGTTTACATCTCTAATCTGTACGCTTCTTCTTAATTAGGAAACCTATTCTTTTTTCTTTTCTTTTTGCATTGGGAAGTTCCAACACGATCAGTTTTGTTTATTGTTATCTAAGCAGGAACCTTAATCAGAATTTCTTGACTGGCTCCTTGTCTCCTGGCATTGGTAATCTGACTCGCATGCAGTGGATGTAAGGCACTCAACAACCCTTTTCACCACACTTACCATTTTGGTCTTTTTCTTATTGGTTGTGACTAAATGACGCAGGACTTTTGGGGCCAATGCTTTGTCCGGACCAGTTCCAAAAGAAATCGGACTGCTCACTGATTTAAGATCACTGTAAGGACACTCTTCTATATGATCACATTCCTTTTCATTCAACCACATATAATAGTTTCTCAATGTTTTGTTTTCTTTCTTGTGAGCAGAGCGATTGATATGAATAATTTCTCCGGTTCTCTACCACCGGAGATTGGAAATTGCACCAGGCTAGTCAAAATGTAAGTTTATACGAGCTGACATTTTGTATTTCTTGCATCAAAATTTTCATCACAAATAGTCTCTCGCTTCTCATCACTATGATTATGCTCGTTTTTTTATGACAGGTACATTGGAAGTTCAGGAATTACTGGTCAACTTCCTTCATCATTTGCTAGTCTTGTGAACTTGGAAGAAGCGTAAGATTTTTTTCTCTTAACGGGATGTTATTGTATATGCCTGCTCATTTAACATACTCCTCACTCTGTCTTCCAACGTTTTGGACTGACTTTTTTTTTCTTTTTTTTTTTCATGTCGTTTCAGTTGGATTAATGATATCCAACTTACAGGTCAGATACCAGCCTTCATAGGAAATTGGACCAGACTTACTACTC